GCTCCACCCAGAGACGCACACTCTGTGAGAACCAATGGAAAGGAGCCTGAGCTACTGGAACCTATTCCCTATGAATTCATGACATGATGGGTGTTAAAAATAAACAAATCTGTGGTCTAAAAAAAAAAAAAAAGAGGTGCTCAAAGCAGACCCTCAGAGCTCGGTAGAGCCAGGTAAGGAACTGGGATTTTAGTCCAAATGCTCTGGGAGACACAGAGGAATTTTGAGGGGGGGGGGGGTGATACCACCGGATTCGTCATTCAGGGACATCTCTGAGGATCTGGGCTGGGCTGGGGGGCAAGGGCAGGCGACTTCAGGGCTCTCTAGAGGCCCACAAGGGGAGGGACAGGAGTACAAAGGGCCTGTGAAAATTATTTTCTGGGTGTTGCGAGATTTCACTTAATTGTCATGACTACGTGAGAAGGGAAGCGAATGGAACCCCATTTTACAGAGGAGCAAAGGAATCTCTGGAGGTGAGAAGGCTGGCCTGAGGATCCGCACCCAGGTCCGATTTCCCCTCTCCCTAGTTGCATTACAGCCCAACCGTGGGTGTCTTTCCACGGTGGTTTTAGCCCCGTCTCTCTGACCGCTGAAGGAGGGTAGATCCGATGTGTGCGTGCTTTGGCCCTGCAGGGTTAGCAGCCACTTTCCCAGTTACCCCAGCTCTACGTCTTTCCCGGGAGGTGGCTGGGTCACCGTGATAACTTCTGTGACCCAGTTTCCTTACCGCAAGACAAGAGATAATGCCGCCTCCTCTGGGCACTTCGGTGAAGACTCAGGAGTTACCCTATCTACGTGCTTAGCCCAGTGTCTGCCGCGGAATAGAACCACTGTCTCTTATTATCTTTATTGACTTGGCTCCCAAACAAGGATTCCCGGATGTGGAAGTTGAGTTGTTTAATTAAAGGGTTTCTCCTTTATTCTTAATTTTGTTATCTGGTTCCTCCCAGTGTATGTGGGTTCTCAGGTGACCCAGCGTTAACTTGAGGTACCTGGCATCCTGGCAGGAGAGGTTGATGGGAAGGGAATGTAAGTCCTGGGGTGGGGGTCGTTGATTATCCTCTTCCAGGATAATTGGACTTGGCTTCAGTGGCCCTGCAAGTTTAATGAGACACACTCCTCTGTGGATTTTGAAGTTTCTGGACATTACCTTTGGTCTATTGGATTATGCGGTTCAGGGAACGGGCTGTTTTTCTTTCTTTTTTTTTTTGGAGAGGTTTTTTTGCTATAGGGTGCGTGCGCTTGCCAGACAGACAGAGAGACAGAGAGGCAGAAAGCGAGAAATCACCCCCACCCAGGGGGGATGGCTACGCCGCAATCCCTTCTCCTCCGTTCTCCTCTCGGGATCTTGGGCATGCATGCACATGTGCCCAGCGTGAGTTTAAGCCACCGGGTCCAGGACTCGAACCGCGGTCGACTATGTGGGAGTCCAGCGACACAGCCATTACGCTAACTGCTGGTCCCACGGGCTGTTTTTCTTAAACTCCACATTTGGTGCAGATAGTCATCCACGTCTGAGGATCACTGGTATCATATTCTCTTTGGTTCGACTTGATCTCATATTTAAGTATAGTAAGGGCCGGTGGGTGGTGTGATGGTTAGGGTGCTGGACTCCCACATGGCTGACTGAAGTTCAGTTCCGGGACCTGGCAGCTTGCTTCTCACTTTCTCTTTCTCTCTCTCTCATCAAATTAAAAAAATAATAATAACAATAACAAATAAAATAATTTGAAGAAAGCATATTAATATAGTCACTTATTCTTTTAAAAGTTTTTTTTTTTAAGAAATTCAATCACTGTATATCTTTTCAGCATACGGAATGGATTTTCCCAACGTGAATACATATTAGCCCAGGTTACTTATTCTTTAAACACCTTTTTTATTGACTCGGCGCTGCTTTCTGGTGGTGAGATTGCTGAGCATTAAGGGCACTCACAGGAAAATGTAAAATAGCAATAGGATCTCTGATAAAACAGACGACGTGAGGGACTGAGGTCCTCTTTTAGGGAGAATCAGGAAGGGCATCTCTGGACCTGGCTGAGGGGGGGATGATGAGAAGGAGCCAGGTGCAGAGAGCTCTGAGGAAGAGACTTCAGGCAGAGATCAAGCTCATGCAAAAGCCCCAGGGCAGGGACCACATGGTAAACTTGAGTCCATTGGCCAAAGGGCCAGCGTGTGGCAGGGGCTGAAGAGGTGGTTGAGAGCAGACCCTCAGAGCTCGGTAGAGCCAGGTAAGGAGCTGGGATTTTAGTCAGAATGCCCTGGGAGACACGGAGGAAGTTTGAGCGGGGTGATACCACCAGATTGATCATTTCAAGCAATTGCACTGTTTATGTGGAGGATGGATTTTTGTGGAGCTGAAGGTGAGTAAAAATGCTGTCAGCTGATGAGGCATGAGTATGTTTTATCTCCTGGCTCTAAAGAAAGACATCAAAATTAAGGTAAAAACTTTAGCTGAAATGACCATCGGAAATGATTTGGGACTTAGGCTTGGGAGAGTAGAAAGGTAGCCTGAGTCTGAATCGCCATTTCTCACTGGTAGCTGAGTTTCTGCAGACAAGCTCCTTAATGTCTCTGAATTTCAGATGCCTCGTCTGAAAAATCAGGGTAGGCACAGGATCTGCATTGTGGGGTTACTGCAAGGGGCCAAGGAGCCAATGTCTGTAAGGTGCTTAGCTCAGGCCCCGGCACGGACAGTTCTTCGTGTGCAGAGGAGCACATCTGGCCTCACGCTGAAAGTCCTCTGGGCCCTCCTGCTTAATACGTGAGCCCCAGGCTGGGGAACTTGTTGGAGTCGGAGATGCAGGACGTCAGGCCCCACCTTAGACCTGCTGGATCAGATTCTGTGCTCGAACAAGACCCCAGGTGATCTGGTGGGCCTTCCTGCGTGGCGGCGTCCCTGTGAGCCACAATATGCAGGGAGTAGCGCTGGATGTGTGTGGATTATGAAAACCTGTTGGCAACAGCGTGTAGGTACACAAAGCCAGCAGTGGGAGGACGCAGAACACACGTGACCCGACCTCGCTGGCTGTTCTCGGGCAGCCACGTAACTACTCTGGGACTAAATGTCTGCCTCTGTCAAATGACTCACCTGCTTTAGAGGTTTGTTGACAGGATAAATTGAAATAATGTGAAAACGGATCTAAAAAGGGGGAAAGTAAGTTATTTTTATCTTGTTTACATAGAGAAGGGACAGCATAATTTCAGTAGCTATTAATACAATTTTCAAAGAATCAGAGCCCCCATTTTCCATACTTACTTGCTGAGGGGCAATGGCAAAGTTATTTGGTATCTTGATTAAATTACGGGGGACACCAGTGGCCCAGGAACCACAGCGCCGGCATTTTGGGAACCCAAATGGGAGAGCGTTGTAGCCTGGCTGAAAGCCACTGCCTAGGAAGACCAGCACTGGGTGCAGAGTGGCTGATGTTGCCATCGGCCAGTGACTGGGCTGCAGTGTGGCGTGCCACGGCCGTGTGCCGGAGTCGCCGGATGGTGCCAGGTGGTGTAGTTCAATCTAACACAGGTGTCATAGCCACAAAAGTCTTTTATTATTTCCAAATATCACAAAACAAGAAACAAATGCGTTTCACTTCTATTAGCAGAAAATCTTGAGTTACCAAAATTTCAATATAATCTGGCACAAGAAAAACACCGAGTCTCAGACCAAAGACCAAGCATTCCATAAGAATTGATGAGAAGGGAGATGTAAGGAGCGCCAGAAGGCACAGACTGGAGGTATCCAGGGAGAAAAGCACCTCCCTGATGCCAGCAGTCCCCAGCGGTGCAGAGCGCCACTTGGGAAACCTGGCCCTGCGCGCCCCCGGGAACGAGCTGCTTTACTTGACAAGGGACAGACGCTGTAACAGGGTCACCCAGCTTTAGCACCAGGTCGGGCACAGGGAGCAGTGAAGCAGAAGACATCCTGTTTCACAGATAATGTTGAGGACATCACATGACTGGGGCATAATTACCAAGAGCAAAGAAAGAGCTCCTGAGAAAGGCCCATGGCATTTTCGGAGTTTCTCAAATTATCCCAAACTTCAGAAAGCAATTTCTTATGGTACATCTCCTCCTCATGATTCCCTCATTCGTCTTCAAGGCAGAAAAGAAATAACAGGAAAAGTGCTTTTTTTAATTTAAGAGTATTTTATACTTGGAAATAGCAGGTTCCCCAAATACAAGTACACAGGTTTGTTTTGATTGTCCAAAGCACTTTCTCTTGCTAGAATTTTGAAGGCTACCACAGAGTTAATGCACAAAAGCCCAACCACAGCACAAGAGCAGCAGCAAAAGCAGGAGTGGGAAAAGAAATAACAGGAAAAGTGCTTTTTTTAATTTAAGAGTATTTTATACTTGGAAATAGCAGGTTCCCCAAATACAAGTACACAGGTTTGTTTTGATTGTCCAAAGCACTTTCTCTTGCTAGAATTTTGAAGGCTACCACAGAGTTAATGCACAAAAGCCCAACCACAGCACAAGAGCAGCAGCAAAAGCAGGAGTGGGCTATATCCTCACGCGGGAGGGGCAGGCTGGGGGAGGCCAGGGGAAAAGCACAGTCAGTTGTTCCACTGTAAATAGGTAATAGTAGAAAGACAGTCTCTCACAGAAGAAGCACAAAGCCATCTGTCCAGCTGGGAGCTGAGGTCTTAGCCGTAATGGGTTTGCTTGCAAGAGATTTGAGCCACCCTTGCTGTTCACGAGAGCCCTACGCTCTGGTCTGACTTGAAGCACAAAGACAAGGGCAGGAAGTCAGTGAGCCTTGCAGACCCTGGGTGTGAGCAACACCCAGGGCTGCCCTCCCTGACTGCTTCCAGCAACTACTCAGGAAATCGGTTTGTGACTTACCCAAGTTGGAATCCTTTCAGAGAGCCCGTTAGAGACCAGTTTCCCTTTTTAACGACTGTAAACATACAAGTACAATCATTGCTGTTAACACATTTTTATATCTTGCACATAATTTTCCCCCTCAATATCTTGGCTGAATGGGCAGTCACAAGGGACCCCGCTGATGACCATTGTATGGCCTGGAGTCCTACCCCAAGTTCAAGTTCAAGTTCAAGTTTACGGCACTGCAGCTGCAGAGAATCTCCTTGAAGGTGTTGCGCAGTTCCAGGCTGCGGAAGGCGTAGATGAGGGGGTCGATGACCGAGTTGCACATGATGAGGACCAGGTAGGTATTGAAGTGCGCCGCGTAGCAGATGCAGTGAGGGTTGGTGGGGCAGGTGATGATGAGGACCAGGTGGAGGAAAAAGGGGGCCCAGCAGAAGACGAACACCCCCAGCAGGATGGTGATGGTGACGGCCCCCTTCATGCAGGAGCGCTGCTGTGGGGCTGCCCCGTCGGCAGGCGGCAGCGCCGCGATGCGCTTGACGTGCAGCCGGGCGAAGAGGAACATGTGCACGTACAGGGTGCCCATGAGCAGCAGCATGGCGAAGAACATGGTGATGAGGCACACGATGACCGTCTTGCTCTCGGAGTAGATGATGAACACCACCCCGCAGACCCCGCAGCACACCCAGATGGCTGCGATCAGAGCCAGCGCCTTCCCGACCGTCATGATGCTGTGATAGCGGAGCGCGTAGAAGATGGTGACGTACCTGTCCACGGCGATGGCGAGGAGGTTGCAGATGGAGGCCACCAGGGAGATGCAGATCATGGAGTCGAAGATGTTGTCCATGTGCTGGATGAAGCGGTCCTCCAAGGTCAGGTAGTTGCTGTTGACCACGGCGATCATGATGGTCTCCAGGGCGTTGGACACGCTCACTAGCATGTCGGCCGCGGCCAGGCTGCACAGGAAGAAGTACATGGGCGAGTGCAGGTTGCCGTTGCGCACCACGGCCAGGATGACCAGGACATTTTCCAGCAGGCTGATGATGCCCAGAGCCAGGAAGACCTCGGGCTTGATGAAGACCTGCTCACAGAAGCCGCTGCCGCTCTGGTTGCCGAAGGAAGGGGCTGCGAGGCGCTGGGAGCCGTTGGGCAGCGTCGGCTGAGCAGAGAACAGGCAGCATGAAGCGTTCATTGCTCGCATCTGAGCTGGTCTGAGCTGGGCTCAGCAGGGGCTGGAGCAGCTGCTGCTGCTGCTTACTGGGGGGACGAAAGTCTCCTACCAGAGACTGCTTTTGGATGTTGGCTCAGTCTAGATTAGATTTTATTCTTCCGCAGATTAAAAGGATGGAGAGAGAGAGAAAGTGACAAAGTTAGTAGCTTGGAGGCAGCATACAGAGAACTTTTCTCTGCATCTCCACGACCGGCAGTTCAATAGAGCTCCTTTCAGCCGTCTTCCCCTGTCTCCCTGTGACCTCTCTGGCTATGCTGGCATCCCAACCAGGGAACAGAACCCCTGCTGCTGCTGTTGCTGCAGTTACCGCTCTCTGCATAGCAGGGCTAGGGGACCTGGTACCTGTTGCTGAAAGTGAGGGCAGAGCACTCAGGTTTTATATATCGGCAGAGGGCAAACGACTCCTACTTAATCTTCAGCGCAGCGAAATGACCACTGAGCACCCGGCATCTCTTTGACTGACAGCAGGTACCTGGCTCCAGGGCTTGGCAGGGAGATTAAGAGGCAGACTGGCGCCCTCTGCAGGCCAGACTGGTTATCTGCGTGCTGGCTCTGCGGAGCCGTTCCTGTTTGCCTGGGAAACTGCCAGAGGCATCCATTCATCCATTCCTTCGCTGGCTCATTTCTCTACGCACTCATTAAAAAAAAGCAAACATTTATTAGTTCCTACTATGTGCCAGGTCTGTGCTGGGTGCAGGAAACATAGTGATGGGTGGACAGCCACTGTCCGCTCTCCCTGGAAAAAAAAAAATAAAACCAAGCCATTATATCACAGCACAAAGATGCCTGGGTGGGGACATCCAGGGAGGCGGGGAGCACAGAGGAGGGGCCGTGACCTGGAAGGTCAAGGAGCATTCTTGGAGGAAGGAGCGTTTAAGCTTCAACTTCAAGAAAGAAGTGCTACCCAGTGGGGCAGGGGCAGGGTTGAGGTCCAAGGGGAAGAAAATCCAGGCAGAGGGAATACCATGTCGTAATCTGGATGCAGCATGCCCCGGCTGTGGGAACCACCCGTGCAGCATGGTGTCTGGGTCCCACCTGACCACGCATCAGAACCACCCAAGGGTAGCCTCTGGGAAGCTATGTTTCCATTTCGGCAGGTGAGCTGGGCGTGTAGCCAGCGTTGAGACCACTGGAAAGGAAGCGTGGAGACTCTGAAGTGCTGAAAGTGGTCTGCTCTGGCCAGATCACAGAACTGGAGGCACAATTAGAGAAATAAAGCTGCAAAGGATGTTTTTAAAGGTGAAAGGTGCCTGCATTTTGAAGGATGACAGCAGCTACATGCGGGAATGTGGACTGGACCCTGAGGCAGAGGGGCTGTGGTAGGGACCAGGGACCGAGCAGGGCAGGGACAGAGGTGGGGTCTGCATTTTAGAAAGGGTGGAGAATGGACTGGAAGGAAAAAAAAAGTCCGGGGCAGAGGGTGCGTCCAAGATCCAGGGTGAGGTGATGGTGGTGCAAGAAAGTAGCCACAGGGGCCTGGAGACTTGGCCGAGACACTCAGGAGGTAGGTGATGGAGACATGGCCGAGATATTCAGGAGGTGGATGATGGAGACATGGCCGAGATATTCAGGAGGTAGGTGATGGAGACATGGCCGAGATATTCAGGAGGTAGGTGATGGAGACATGGCCGAGATATTCAGGAGGTAGGTGATGGAGATTCAGGAGCGGTTGGATGTGGGAATGCGGGGGAGAGAGTGGCCAGGGAGCACCTGTATCTTCTTCCTCCCTGCAGCAGGGAGGATGGGGATGTTTTAAGCTGGAAAACATAAAAGGCAGAATTTAGCAGTTGCCCCATCGATGTGGAGTGGCCCTGGGAAGTATGGCTTAATACTTGGTTTATGTTAGATTTGATTCTGCACACAGATCACGTAAACTCAGAAAACAGGGAGCCCCCAGGCCCCCCCAAATCTCACACAACTCGCACCAGTGTGGGTGTAGGTTGTGCATGGCTGGAATAAAATGGTTAAGTGAAAAGTTGCAGCTGACTGCACTGGGGGGAAGAGGGACTTTACATGGCAAGGAAAAGAACCCAGGGAACAACAACTTGGGCACTTTGGGGTCCTATTTTGCAGATGGTGAAGAGGCATCTACTTCTGCCAAAGCCACAGTGGCTGTATGGCTCCTTCCATCACAACCTTGCAGAGGCTGCCTCCCAAGGAGCTCATGGCTTTATGTTCCTTGTGGGGTCAGTGTGGCTGCTCTCAGCTCCGTATCTTCGCCCTATGAGTATCAGTCCAGCAGGAAGGGATGAAGGCCTCTCCCAAGTACCTGCTAGACCTCCAGATCACAGCTTCCTGAGTCTGATTGGACCAGGGGCACGTGCACCCCTGAGCCAATGGCTATAGACAGGGGGATACGATCCCAATTGGGTGACATGCCCAGTCTGGAACTAGGGGAGGAATGAGATCCATCTGAATCTGGTGACCTGCAGGTAGAGAAAAGGGCGATTCCCCCAAGGAAAATGCAATACTGTTTCCCTGAAGATGCTGGACAGCAACTCGATCCATGTTCACTACAATAATGAAAACCAGTTATTAACTCTCTTCCCACTTTCTTCATTGTGTTACCTGGACAAAGGTTTTCAGAGAATCACAGGGGAGTGATTGACAGAATGACTCAGAGATGAAATCATGTTTGCATTTAAAGAAAGTGAGAGAATTTTCTGAAAAGATGAGGGTTGATTGAATAGGTTGTTGCCTTTTCTGGTTTTGGAAACCAGCTTTGCCACAGTCTGGCCATGTGACTCTGGGCTGGCAACTGTAGATCTTCAAGTTTAGACTTGTCATATGTAAAAAATTATGATGCCTGTTTCATCGTATTGTTATGAGGATTAAATGACTTCGTGTCTGAGCCACACTGAGCATGTGATAATCATCAGCCCCTGTCACTATTACAAAGCAGGGACAACAATTTAAGGGCCTGGCTGTGGTGACACAGGTGAGGGAGCACTGGCTGCTGGGCCAAGCTGCATGGACACTGCAGTTTGGATCAGGTTGGCCTGAAACATGCCAAGCCCGGGCACATGTGCCATGTTCTTGGCTGGTTGAAGGGCTGGAGGGTCGTGGCATGGTGAGAACCCATTGAGCATGGCTGTTTCTCTGTCATGAAGGAAATAACGTTAGCTTTGAAGGAAGAAAAGGAAACAGTTTAAGGAGGAGTTGGAATAGCCAGTATCCCTAATTCTTCGAAAAGTAGTTGGAACACAGTAAATCTCTATTGAATCAACAAATGACCATGCAAAGGCGGGAGTGGTTTAAAACGTCACTGTAAGTTCTGGATTTGCATTTCCAGGTTGCTATCAGTAGGATTCAGAAGGGAGCCCCATTTTCTGAGCGAAGCTTTTGTAAAAAGATGTTCAGGCACGTGCTGCCGACCCTGATGGAGTTTCCAGTACTAAACCGGCTCTCGGCTTTCCCGGAAGTTTGCAGCCGCTTTCTCCATTACTGTTTCAGGACCCCATACCAGTGGGGTTTGTTCCCCTTTGTGAAGAAAGAAAACCTTTTTTTCTCCCACAGATATTCCTCTAGCCTCCAAAAGAATTATGATTATTCCTCATTGGCTAGAACTGGGTCACATGACCTACTTTAGCTGCAAGGGAGGCTGGGAAATCAGGGTGAAAATTGGCCATCCTGACGACACTGTCCGTTCCCCACTAAGAAAGATGTCACTGACTGAATTTCTCCAGAAATAGATGCTGAGATGGAGTTGGGCGTGCAAGAAAAGAGGAAGGCCCTGGTCACTGGGTCCCTACATTGTCCTTGGGCTGAAATGGCTGGGCCTTTCCACCACTGCACAATCAGTCAGTAGATGTAGGCCAGGCAGGAAAAGGGCACTCCTGGGCAAGGCGTTAGTACGCAGCTGAGGGAAGTCCTGAGGAACTGCAGCTGGAGGCTTCCTGCCGAGAGTTGGGGAAGGAAGTCCTTCTTTGAAGGAGGCCTGGTAGTGCAGGTCCTTGCTCACCACAAATGAAGAGCAAATTGTGTACCCACAGAGAGATGAGACCGGCCAAAATCGACAGTGTTTCTACTGTGTGAACCTGGGAGGTGAGTTTTATAAGAGTTGTACATGTAGTGGGAGAGCTGATGAGGGCATATTTCTGATCCTGACACCTCTCAGAATATCACATCAGGGCCACCTACATGAGGGGACTGACTGCAGCACTTCTGTGACTAAGGTCCTACCTCCGGTCTGTGCTTGGCTGGAAGCACGTGCTGTCATGGTGAGTGGTTGGTTAGAACAAGTGGAGGCAGAGTTACTCACTGCTCAAGGATGAGGTGAGGGGGTAGCAGCAAGGAAGGAACAGAAAGCTCAGCTACCAATGTCTCAGGGAAGCTTGGAACACATTTCACAGAAATCATAACCTAGTCTTGGGAGATTGTCACATCTGTTCATGACTTTCCCATGGTGGCTAGTCAATGTGCCATGTAATAGAGGATTTGTTTGCAAATCATAGTATATGTTTTATTTGGGGATGATTTAGATGTATAGCAAAATGACAGAGTTGGTACAGAGAATTTCCATACACCCCACACCCTATTTTCATTGTTAGCATCTTACATCACCAGGTACCTCTGGCAAAATTGGGAAGCCAACCTTGGCACATTGCTGTTAACTAAACTCCAGAGTTTATTTTGATTTCATCAATTTCCCACTCATGTTCTCTTTTTGTTCCAAGAGTCCAATCTAAGCTGTCATGTTCCTTCTCTCCTTTGTCTATGACAGTTTCAGTCTTGCTTTTCATGACTTTGACAGTTTTGAAGAGTACTGGTAAGGTGTTCTGAAGAAGGCCCTTCAATTTGGGTGTGTCGTCTGATTTTCGTTTGATTAGGTTGGAGGTACGCAAAGACTACCACGGAGGGAGGTGCTTTCTCATCACGTCATACTCAGCGGTACGCGGTACCCACAGAACATCACTGGATGATAACCTCAATCACTTACTTAGGGGGATGTTATCTAACCGACTTTTGATTGTCCAAGTTTGGCCCTAGGGTGC